ATATAAATGAGATCATTTTAAAGTATTTAAGAAACCAAGAAACACATAGGTTAATTTTTCAAGTAGGAAAAGGAGCTGCCAAATTGTAATTAACTGCTCTAAAAATGTGTGAAGAAAGCATTGGCCATATTAATGTTATGCAAATTAAAGTGACAGTGAAGGGTGCCAAATTTCTGTTCCCAGATGTCTGGAACTCCATTAAACTTCTCTGAAAAGAAAATGTCATTGCCAGTGTAGGTAAGATTCATCAGTCTCAAAACTGGAAAGGGAAATCACTAGGGCTAACAAGTAGAGACAGGTTCTTTTCTGTAAGAATGGGCCCTTCACCCTATTCAGCATTTAATATCTTAACAAATTGTTTCTTTTAGAACATCTACCAGTTAGTTGCCCTCTATTCTAACCGATTACATCATTCAGCAGTAGAACCAGAAATACAGTTTAGACAGTAACAACATTGTAAAGAAAACAGCTTTGAAAAACTGAAAAACTCTCACTGATGTAATGACCAAACTGAACTCCTGAGGGCTGATGAAGAAGCATCTCCTAACAGAGGGGTGATAGAATCAAGGAGTACAATGAGACATACATTTTTTGCACTGGCAAATAAATAGGGTTTTGGTTTGGTTTGGTTTGGTTTTTTGCTTCACTGTGCTTATCTGCTTCAAGAATGTCAGGGGTTTTTTTTCTTTATTTGAGAGGTGGTTACAAAGGAGAGGGGAGCCAGCAATAGTGTTGTCGAAAAAGTAAAGAATCATTGATGCATTTTAAAATTCGCAGAAGGAAACAGACAAGCAAAATAATTGAAAATAATGTGTTGAATTTGTTATATACTTTTTTCAAAAGGCCAGTTGTACACAATAGAAATTTGCAGCTTCACATATAATTCTCTTTTTCTGTTCTACTTTGTATAAACATTCTTTTTTGTGTTCTTTAAATTCAGAATCTTTTTTTAAGAAAAATTTTTAAAAGACAGAATAAAAGACTATCTTGTTCCAGGGAACTAACATCTTTTCTCAAGCAAAAAATGTAGCGTTTTCAATGAATGAAAGTCTCTTTTGGTCTTTTCAAAAGCCTTTTGCTCTTTTCAATCATCAAGCATTTATTAAATACCTAGTATGTGAATGAATGGATGAAAAGGAAGGCAAAGGAGTCTGAGAAGGAATGGTCATGTAGGTAGGAAGGGAAGCAGGATGGATTTGTCATGGAATCCAAAGGAGGAAAGAGTATCCCGGAGGAGGAATGATTGACAGTATCAACAGCTACAGAAAAGTAAAGTAGCATGAGCACTGAGAAAATAGCGTGGGACTGAGCATTTAAGAAATTGTTGGTCATCTGAAATAAACTTTACTTGGGAAGGCAGATTACAAGGCAGCTGAGAAGTGGGATGTAAGGAAGAAGCAATTAGTATAGATGACTTCTCCCAGGAATCCAGCTATGAAAAGAACAGATAATAGAATGATAGCTTGAGGGGATATCAAATTGGAGATCTTGCCATATTTCTAGGGACCCAAAAGAAGCATTATAGTGGGAATAAAAGATTGAAAACAGAGAAACAGAGACACAGAGAAAGACAGCTAATCATCTAAGAGGCAAGCTCCCATAGGAGATGGAAACATTAGGGACCAAGGGCATCAGAAATGGGGTTATTCTTGGTAAGGAGTCTTCCCAGAGTAGAGAGGAAGAGAGAATTGGGGGATAGTGGAGTTATGAGGTAAGATGAGGAGATTTACCATAGATAATTTCTCCAAAAGTAATGGTTGGGGCCAAAGTTGAGGGATATGGAAAGGGGTTGGCAAAAGAGGTAAGGCAGGGAGCTTGAAGACAGAGTTGAAAGTGTGGTGAGTACAGATAGAGATAAAGGAAAGAAAAAAGAAAGAAGGAAGGGAAGGAAGGAAGGAAGGAAGGAAGGAAGGAAGGAAGGAAGGAAGGAAGGAAGGAAGGAAGGAAGGAAGGAAGGAAGGAAGGAAGGAAGAAAAGAAACTGCCCCTCTTTATTATTATTAACTAATTTATCCCTCTTTTCATTACTGGAGTTTATACATGTTGGTGGTTAAATTGATCACTGTTTCAGTTAAATCCCAATTCAAATGAATCACATTAAATACATACAAAAGTCATATAGTCAATCCTAATCACAGGAGGCTAATCTTTGCATTCTGATACAAAAGACAAATAGTACAAGTATACATAGAAAATGTTTTTTATTATCACATTCCTTTTATGTCTTTTTTAAGGTCTATTCTTCCTCCTCCTCTCCCGTAATTGTGAGTATTCCCCAAAGTTTTCTCTTCAGTATGTTCCTTCATTTGGAGAACTTTATTTGCATCCATGAATTCAATTACCATCTCAATACAGACAAATGCCATATTTAGATCTCTAGTCTTAATCTCCCACCTGAACTCTAGTCCTACATTTACAACTATCTGCTGCTTATCTGTACCCCGGATTACTAGTGTTACCTAAAAGTCAACATGCCCAAGACTAAACTCATCATGACACCCCATTCAACACCCTCTCCCCAACCCCAAAAAATTCTCAATTTCTGCTGATAGCCCAAATAGTCTCACGGGCAATCATGCTTAAAGCCTTAGAGCCACCTTTGAGTTTTCCTTCCTCCTCATTCCATATATCCATTAACTCATGAAAACCATGATCACAATCTCCATTAGCCTTAGTTCCTTCATATGTAAAGTGGGGATGATAATGATAATAACTGGTACAGAAATTACTTTCACTGATGAAAATTAGCAACTTTTTAATTTAGAGTCCAGGGCATTTATTAGGCCACACACAGAAGTTAAGTAATTTATCTAGAATCAACACAGCTAGAATGTATCAGAAGGAGACTTTGAACCAATTCTTTCTGACTCCAAGGCTGATTTTATGTACTATACCATGGGGTACCTCTCTTATAAGGGTAACTAACATCTTAAAATTTTCAAAGGAAAAAATAAAAAACAAAACAAAGAAGATTTCAAAGCACTCTATATACAGTACATCTAAATACATTACCTCACTTAAGCCTCACGATAACCTTGTGAAGAAAGAACTAAAGGTATTATTATTCCCATTTTACAGATGAGGAAAATGAGAAAAGTTGTGTTTGTGTACAAAGTCACACCAGTATCAGATTTGAACCTGCTTCTCTTGACTCCACCATTCTTTTCATGATACCATTTTGCTTCTCTAATAATGATAATACATATCTTACAGGGTTCTCGTGGGGGCACAAATAAGCTAGGCTCACTCTCTCAGTAATCTTATCAGCTTCCATGGATTTAACTACCATCTCCATGCAACTGACTCCCAGATTTATATTTAGTCCCAAGCTCTACCTTAAGCTTCAGTCTCAAATGAACAATTGCCTATTGGACATTTCAAACTATATATGTCCATTCCTGTGAGGTCCTTGAGAGCAGGAACTTTTTTTTTTGGTGGGGGGGAGGTTGCTTTTCTTTGTATGCCCTGGTGTTTAGGTACAGTGTCAATAAATGCTTATTAACTGACTGAATATGTGCAAAATTGAATTCATTACCTTTCCCCTTAAACTTTTACCTCATCCAAACTTCCCTATTTCTGTCAAAAGCACTTCCAGCTTTCCAGGCTCTCAGGTTCATAATCAACAGCCTTTCACAAACTTTATGTTTCAGGCAAACTGAACTACTTTTCATTCCCTTTGTCCTCTATCAGTTCTTCTAACTCATCTAACTCACTGTAACTCTTCACGCCTGGAAGAGACTCTTCCCCATCCTACCCCAACCTCATCTGTGTCAGTTGAAATCTTTCCCTTCCTTTAAGGTTTAGGTCAGGTGTCACCTCCTTCCTGAAGCCTTCTTGGATCCCTCAAGTTACATAAGTCTAGCCTGATAACTCCTTAAGGAAAACAGAGTGGCCAGTCTTATGGCTCTTCTACTGTTCCTCTTAAATCATGATTCACAGTTTCTTTTAGAAAAAGATGCACCAGATTCCAAAGAGATCTATCTATGCTTCCGTGCAAACTATATTTAGACTATCCTTGTGGCATACATAATCTTCGTGGTTATATAAGCAATTTCTCTCTTCTCAAATCTCAGACTATTTCTGTACCACCACACTACATCTTACTGTTACTTCTGTGGGGTTTTTTTGTTCCCTCTACTCTTCTAATAAATGCTTTTTGATTAAAAGGAAAAAAAATAATGTTGAGAGTTGGGTTTCTTAGATTCTTTGTCTTGATATCTCCAAAGCCTAGCACAGTGTTTGCACATAATGACTCGTTGGTTGGTGATTGACTGATTTTGGTGAAGACTAGGAGATATCAAAATGCCTTCCCAATCAGGAAGATTAATCCAGGGGCTTAATCCATGATGGTGTGGTTTGCATTTTTGTCTGCCACCTTATATGGCAATATAACGTATCCAGAACTATCCCCAGAGAAATAATGTTTATGCTAGAGAAAAATAATTGCTTTATTACCAGAATCACACATAAGCTAGAAATTATCTCGAGGATTGGTCCCTGCTTCCAGTATATAAGTATGTGCTTTGAAATCAGTTGAGGGGTTGTTGTGTGTGTGTGTGTGTGTGTGTGTGTGTGTGTGTGTGTGTGTGTGTGTACCATTATATTTCAATGTAACTGGGTTACTTCTGTAATAAAAGTTTTACTCTGAGGAGTACATAGGCTTTACCAGACTGGTAAAGGTTGACATCCAAAAAGGTTAAGAACCCCTGCTCCAGAAGGTGAAACGAGACAAGCTCAAGATTTTTTAGATCCAGAAATACGGAAATTCTCCATCCGGATAAATTCTCCACGTGCCCCACTCGTCGCCCACAAAGCTCCCGCTTTCGGGGCCAGCAACCCAAGCTGGGCAGGAGCCCGGAGGGGGCGGAGCTAGGAGGCAGGTGGGGTGACGTAAGAGTTTGCTGGGTGTCCCCCCAGCCATTCTAGAAGGAGAAGCCCGAGCCGTGTACTACGCCTCCCCACCCCCCACCCCCCATCCCGGAGACAAGTGGGGAAACTGACCCTAGGAGAGGGAGCGGGCGCTAAAGACTCCTACCCGTCCCAGCGCCTCCGGCGGGGGAGGGCAGCAGGTGCGTCCTCGCGCGGGGCGGCGGCAGTTGCCAGGGTAACACGCTCCCGGAAGTCCCCTGAGCCTCGAGGAAGGCGATCCTGACCCGCGGTGGCACCTACTGCGGCGGCTGCGGTCCCGGCGGAAGATGGCGGAGGGAGGGGCTGCTCGCCTGGGCGGGGACCGGGAGGAGGAGGCTGCGGTGGCCCCGGCCTCAGCCCCGCCGACCCCGGGGGGGCATCGCCAGGAGAAGAGGCCCTCGGGGTCGCGGGCCGGGCCCAGGCCTCCCACCGCCCGCGATCTGCAGGTAGGGAAGGAGAGGAACGCCCGGGGCAGCCTCGGCGGAGCCAGGCCCAGCCTGGGGGCGAGCGTGGGGGGTGCAGGGGGGCTCCCGCCCATCCTCCTCCCCTCCCCCAACGAGCTGGTGCCCTCTCCCGCTTGTGCACGGGGCGGGGGCTCAAGCTAGAGTCTTGCTCCGAAATCCCCCCTCCCATGACCTTCCCCAACCCCGCAAGCCCCTCCCCGCCCCGGTACTTTGCTGTGTTTACCCTTCTGCTTCCCTTATCCCGCCTCCCCCCAAAAAGAGGGCAGGGGCTCGGGGCAGTGGTGGGGTTCAGGGGGAGGGCTGAGCGTTGTAGGAACAAGGGAGAAAGAACAGGCCGGGGCTCTCCCTAGCTCCCCGAGCCTTCTCCATCGTCACCGCGGAAAGGCACCGTCGCCCTGTTATATCCTTGTGTCAAGATGCACGAGGGACAGTGGAGCCCTGTGGAAGTGAAAACTTTGTGGAAATTAGATCCCGGACCTTATTTTCTCATCTCTCCCACCAGATTGCTTTTCCCATTCCTCCTCGTCCACTCCCAGCCTGCCTATTTTATCTCCGTATACTGTTGTCGAAACCGGATTAGCAGTAGTTCTTTTGCAATTTTTTGTGACCCGACTTCACGGTCTAGCCAGTGTTAATACAAATTTTATCCAGAAGAAAACCCTCACGTAGAAGATGTACACATAGAAGCATGGGTACTTAAAAAAAAAATTCTTGGTTTCTCTACAGCCCTGGAATATTTTAAAGAGCTGAAATTTTAATAAATATTTTAGGGGCTTTCCTAGATAGCCTTTTGTTTCTTCCATTTTAGTAGGTGATGAATATGGACCGCTTTTCCTTGAGAGGCTTGTTGAGTGGTATCCTGGGTCAATCAGTAAACATTTATTAAGTGTCTGCTCTATGGCAGGTAGTGTACTAAGCGCTGGGGATACAGAAAGGCAATAGACACTTCCTGCCCTCAAGGAACTCACAGTGTAATGGGAGAGGCAAACAAATAATGCACAAACAAGCTCTATACAGGAAAAATAGGAATAATTAGAAGAAGGAAGGCTTTAGAATTAAGAAGGTTCGGGAAAAGCTTCCTGTAAAAGATTAGATTTTAGTTGGGGGAAGCTAGTAGGCAGAAAAATAGTGGATAGAGTAACTTCTGGTCAGGAATATCTGGGTTCAGAGCTGGCTATTGAAATTAATTAGCCCAGTGACAGTCTTTGAGCCTCTATAGATTCTTTCATCATGCTGATAAATGTAGAGAAATGAAGTGAAAGTATAAGTGTGAGCCTTGAAAACAGTTGAGAGAAACATGGTTAGGCTGTTTCTCTCCTTGAGAGAGAGAAACAATTTGATACTGTAACAACTTTAGAGTTGTTAAATACAAATGCCATGCTCAGGAAAGCTCATAGTATAGTAAAATTCAATGCTTTATCTGTTTTCCTAGACAAATTTCAGTAAACCCATGGTTGTTTTCCATCTTTGAAAATCTGCATCTCACGAAAGAACGTTCAGTTTAGATCAGTAATCCATTTAAGAAATAACTACAATTCCTAAGTGAAGAAACTCTTCAGTCAATTAATAATCTCATTAATATATATGTGTATTTATATGTATGTATATTATATTATTCTTTTCAAGTTATCCATCCTTTTTCATCCCGTGCAATTCTAGTTACAACCTCCCATAAACCTACCTTAGAGTATCTATCCAACTCACTGAAGACCCACAGTTATTACTCACCCTAGGATTGTCGCACTTAACTTTACAAATAATACATTTCATACATTCCCTGGATGATCTCTTTTACACCATTCCTTGTGTAACTGTACATTCTTTTTCTTAATTAAGAATGTTTTATTGATGCATTTATTTTTTTTATACCACAATTACTCCTCTGTAACACTTGCCTCTCCCTCTATAATACCCTTCCTTTTATTAAAAAATTAAGCAAAACTGATTTAGCAACAGGCCTCACACAATAAAGAGAATGTAACATTCTATAGTCTACCAACTCCAAGAGGATATTCCAGCATCAGTTCTCAGTGAATAATGTTAGTCACTGTATTTGGTCTGAATTAGATTGTCTTCATTTACATTATGATCATTCCTTTTACATTATATTCTCCTTACATTATAATCATTTCTTTGCTCCATATCAGTTCTTACAAGTTTTCCCAGGTTTCTCTGAATTCCTTATATTTATCATTCCTTATAGCTCAGTAATATTTTCATAATATTAAAATACTACGATATATCCAGCTGTTCTTTCCATTGCCCTTTCGGTCACTCACAATTTTGATTCTTTGAAATTTATGACGTTCCATGATGTATAGCTATTTAGCATAGTATCCAGCTGCAGTCCAGTTACTAGTTACTAGACTGTAGTCCACTAGAAAATATTCTTTAAAAAAAAATTTTTTTGTGTCAAAAAGCAGTTTTTCATTAAAAATACTGTATAATTTCCCAGTGGCATTCTGGTCCTCTTTTTTTCTTCCATTGTATGGAAGATGGATTAGAGTAGGGAGACACTTGGGTCAGAGAGATAAATTAGGGAGACATTGCAATGAGTTCCTGAACTAACGTGGTGGCTGTGTGAGTGGCAAGAAAGAGATGGATAGAAGCTATTTTGGGGGAATAGAAAAGCAAGATTTGTCAGCTGGCTGGATATAGTGGGTGAAAAGGAGAAGGAGAAGTCAAGGTTATGAACTTTGGAGACCAGAAGGATGGTAGTACCTTTTCTGATAATAGAGACATTTGGTAGAAATATGGGTTGGGGGATGAGAAGGAAGATAATGAGTTCTGGCCTTTTTATGTAGTCTGAGACAGTTTGAAATGTCCAGTAGGCAGTTGGTTATATTGGATATACTGATCTATGAGTCATCTGCATAGAGATGTTAATTAAACTCTTGGGAGCTGATGAGGTCACTAAGGGAGAGTTTAGAAAAAGAAGAGTGAGAAAAAAAAAAGAGTGGACTAGGGATAATATATGTAAAATGAATCGGTGCAGGGAAGCTAGGTGGCACAGTGGATAGAGCACCGGCCCTGAAGTCAGGAGGACCTGAGTTCAAATACAGCTTCAGACCAAACACTTGACACTTACTAGCTGTGTAACCTTGGGCAAGTCACTTAACTCCAGTTGCCTAAAAATAAAATTGAATCAGTGAGACACAGATGATAGGCCAACAAAGGATACAGAGAAGGGGCTAGTCGGTAGGAGAGCCAAGAGAGAGCACTGTCATGAAAACCTAGAAGAGAGAGAATATCCGGGAGAAGGTGGTCATCAATGTGAAACCTTGCAGAGAAATCCGAGAAGAATGAAGACTGAGAAAAGACCATAAAATGTGAGAGTAAAGAGATGGTTGTTAACTTTGGAGAAAATAGTTTTAGTTGAGTGATGAGGTCATAAGCCAAATTGAAAAAGATTGAGAAATAGGTTAGAGGAGAGGAAATAGAGGCTTATTTAAATAACATATTATCTTGTTATGATATTGTTATGGTATCAGTTTCATTTTTTTTTTGTAAAGATGTGTAATAAAGGGAAACCTACTGCTTCCCAAAGCAGAACATTCTACTTTTAGGTATCTCTAATTATTAGAAATCATGCCCTTATATTGAATCTAAATCTTCCTGCTTGTAATTTCTACCTATTATTCCTACTTTTGCCCTCTGGGCCAAAACAAGTTAAGTCTAATCATTCTTCCTGGGGACAACCATTCATATTGAAGAAGGCTGTCACATCCACCAAATCTTTTCTTCTTGTAGCTAAATTTCCTCTGTTCCAGTCATCTTATGGCATGATTCTAAAACTATTTACCAGCTTTTTTGCCTCCTAAACATTCTCCAACTGATCTATTTCCTAATTAAAATGTGATTCCCAGGACTGAATATAATACTCCAGATGTGTTCTGATCAGGAAAGAGTGCCAGCAACATTCATTTGGTAGAGAATGTCCTTCACGTGGCTACTCAAACAATTTTCCTAATGTACCAGACTGTGAAACCTTACAATGCAACATGATTCTATTATTCTATAAACATAATTATATTGCTCAACTTTTTTTTTTGTAACTTGACATTTTGCAATTGTATCTCAAATGTATTTATGGGAACCTGCTATTTAAAGAATCTTTGTGGTGAATATTTTTCAAGCAAGGAAATTTTATTCAATACACTGTTCATTCCCTAATTTATTTTCTAAGTTCCAGTTTTTGGGGTATTGTGTTTTGTTAAAGCAGGACATAGCAATAGAATGAAATTTTGCAATCTGCCAACTCACTATCATACTTAATTGCTATAGCCTAGTTTAAAAATTTTCTTTTAAGACTGTGTTTTGCATAAATTATGACTTCATCACTTTTAAATTGCCATTATGTTCTTATGACATCAGATGACAGTGATTTATTCCAGGAATCTGATTCACTGTGGGAAACTGCAATAAAGGAACTCTGACTCTGAATTCAAGTGCTTCCTTAAGTGTTTAGTACAGTTTTAGTAGCAGTGGACTAGCCTACTAGATTGCCTTCCACCCTCCAACACTGCAGAGGTAAGGGGGTGGGAGCAGGGATTGGGGAATCAAGATTTTTCTACCTGATTTAATGTTTTGTTCAATAGACTTTTGGATTAGACAGTTGGGATGCTCAGGAAGAGAGGCTTCCATAGCCTTAGAAGCTTTTAACCATGCTGTGATATACATATATGTGTATATAAGTATGTGTGTGTATATATATGCA